AGAGAGGGGAAGCGACGAAAACGATGGACTGAGCACTTCAAAATACCCTGCATCACGTCCAGAAATAGCACCAGCAACCGAAGAATTACCAGTGAACACAACTTCTTCGATGAAAACAGAAATTCTGAAATCCACAAAGTTGCTGAAATCCAGGGAAGCAGCAGGAGCAGATGGATTCCCCCCAGAAACACTGAGATCAGGTGCAGAGACAACAGCGGACATGCTCATATCACTACTGGAGAAGGTTTGCAAGGAAGGAAGGAAGGAAGGAATGAAATGCACCTGGAGACTGAAAGAAGGGGTACGTTGTCAAACTCCCAAAGAAGGTTGGACGAAGTGTTTGCAAGAACTGGCGAGGAATCATACTACACTGTTGTCCACCTCAAGCAAAATATTATGCCGCATCATCCTGGAGAGACTAAACATGCTCTGGACTCAAAGTTACAACCGGAACAGGTTGGCTGGCTGGCTGGCTGGCTAGCTTCAGGAAGAAGAAATCATGTGTACATCGAATTGCATCGTTCCACTACGCATCAGCATAGAGCAGAGTATAGAATGTCAGTCAACTCAACTCTACCTCAACCTCATAGATTTTGAAAAGGCCTTCGACAGCATTGACAGAGAACTAATTTGGAAACTGCTGCTTGAACACTGTGGTTTCATTGTCACATGTCTTTATCAACCTCATTCAACAGCTATGTGGTGACGCCACATGCTCAGTGATTCACAAAGTAAAGCTGAGTGACGCCTTTGAAGTGAAGACAGGAATAAACGAAGGCTGTCTACTGTCAGCCGTGATATTGCTGATTGTGGTCGATTGGATCATGCAACAAACAGTGAGGAGTGAAAATTGGGGGATGCGCTGGACAGATGAAAAGACCTTTGGAGATTTGAACTTCACCGATGATGATTTATGTCTAATATCTTTCTGCGCGACTTTGGAGATCTCCAAGCGGAAACTAGCAGGTTTTCAGAAGAGAAGAAAAGGTGAATTTTGGACTTTTTTGAGGTGAAAGAAGAGACGACAGATATGCTGAAGGCACCCAACCAACTAGATTAACAGCAACAACAAGCATCCATCACTTTCAACTGGAGAAACCTAAAGGAAGTTGTCTCTTTCATCTACCTAGATAGCATCGTTTCAATTACAGGCAGTGGCAACACAGACAATGATGTCAAAAACAGGATAGGAAATGCAAGACAGGCTATCAATAATCTGAAACCAGTGTGGAGATCTACTGCACCGAATGTAAAGGACGAGATACGGATTGCAAACACCAATGTCAATTCAGTGCTTCTTAGCGCGTCACGAAAAGCATTTCCAACAAACCACAGTCATTCATCAACAGCTGCCACCTACGCTCACTCGATACTGAAGATGATCAGATGGCCAGAATAATGTGAATAAGCAACAAGGAACTCTGGCTGGCTGGCTGGCTGACTGGCAACGAACCAACTAACCACCTATCACCTAAGAAATATGCAGATGAAAGTGGAGATGGATTGGATTGGCATACACTGAGAGAAGTGATTGGGGACATCACGAGCCAAACCCTCGAGTGGAACCCAGATGGGAAACAACGAGTTGGGTATCCGAGGCGAGGGTGACATGGAGGAGATGGTGTGAGGAAGCAATGAAAGCTATTGGGGAGTTGCGGAGGCAGGTTGAAAAGAGTGAATAGAGTGGAGTGAGATGGCGGCGTGCAACTAAAGCCCTATTTTCCACTAGGACAATAATTATAAAATAATAAATAGGATTGGTAAGAACTGGTTTTTGTCTCGGTTTTGTTTTCGCGCATCTCGCAATGAATTTTCAGAAATCCGAGTTGACCCATATGAAAGTCAAGATTTTCCGATTAATTACTTCATGCTTTTTTGAAACTGTAAATATTATTTACTCGAAAATGGATAACGTAACTTTACGTGCTTTTAAGTTGAGGCGTCTCTTGGCTGTGTATATCGAAGGTGGAATTTCGGATTCTAGTCATCTTGTGGAGGATGGGTGATAGAGAAGAAATTGTCGATCTACTGTGACTTATGAGAGAAGATGGAATTATTGAAACGTTCGGAAGTAGCACTCTTGATTATTGAACAGATTCATCTATGGTTACAGTTGATTTCCGTAGTTTTTAATAGCCCACGCTTTACAAGGTCCGGTGAATATTTTTGAGACTGATCCCAGAGGTATCAAGTTCTCAACGGGTGTGAGAACTTTTACAAAGCTATTTGTTTTTCTGATAAGCCGAAGAAAATTGATGCATTCTGCCAAAGTATCCCTAGTACGAAGATTTAGAGGCAACAGTGCTTGAAAATTATTAGTTTTTGATCGACAAATTATAGGAGGCAATAAGTCAGATTAGTTTTTTCTGACGAGATGCTGCATCACCAATCCACATCATTTGAAGAGCTACAACGTGGCGGTGAATATCCACGGAAATTTGTCCAGAAACATCGATTGTGTAGAAGAAAAGTGTAGCAATTCATCACATCAGAAAAGAGGCTTATTTTCTTAAATCTTAACGTCAAAGTAGATGAGTGATTGAAATATTATGAATACAATAGTTTAAACATATCCAGTGACTAAGATAATGAGAGTAAGCAGTTCAAAGTAGACAGTTGTCCGAATCTATTTAGCTTTCACTGCATCAGTCAGTTCACGTGTGCATGTAGAGGCAAGTAAAATAGAACAACATCGAGATGGATGTTCACTTGGATGTCAGAATATGTCAAGAAAACCCTAGTTTGCATAAGTTTCAAGTATTTTATTGGCACAACAGCCTTCAATAAAGTATCAAGTAGAAAAAATCTTTGGCGTTTGAAATGCTGAAAAGAAAAGTTCTATGCTCATACTTTGGTTAACTGAAGCCAGTGAAACCAAAAGAATCCCAATGGAGTTTTTCGTTGCCATTCACTTTGGTAGTATCGGAAAAGTTGGTTTGTACATTTTGTTATCAGCTCATTTGTTACTAATTGTGATGATAGCACAGATTTAACCACGATCACTTAAAAGTGTTTTTTATCCACCGACTTATTATTATGATCTTTTGGACTTTTAAACCATTCCGTAATCATATTACTTTTATAATGTTTTTCTTTCCGTTGCTATGATAACAACAAAATGTATGTAACAATTAATGCTCAAATGCATGATCCACAATATGGCCTACTGGTATGGTTTGAAACTGGTGTGTTCATGATACCCCACTTTAATACTGGCCCGAATTCAATTACTATCTTTTATGCTTAGTTACAAACCTTTTGAAGTTATCAGTAAGTAACAGCAACTGACAGGAATGTGGGTTGGGAAGTTACAATCAGTTGGTTCGCAGTTAACTTTTTAATTAATAGTGCATTGTAGATGTGGGATTGGGTGCATTGTTGTCTATGTATTTATCGAGCATCGTTTTGTAATGTGTGGAGCTTTTTCTGTTGAATTTATAAACTGAGAGGCTGTCAAAACAACTACCGCACTTTTGTGAACCTCACAATAATACTGGTGTAATAAAAATAAAATGTTAAGTCCATGTATTGGCTCAAAGCTAGTTTTTCTACAGTACTGTAACAAATATCAAATATCAACCTAGTATGAAGATTAACGTTTGATAGTGTTGTTGTCTTCTCTGAGCTCGATGGTCTAATCGTGGAGCTTTCCTCGTCTTTCCTGGCAACATCATCATACACTTCAGAAAAAAAATAAACTCACCGTCCATCGGCATATATTCACAACTATATTTATGTGAACTGAATTTGAGTTACATAGTGCATATAATGTGTAACACAATGCAAAATATAGATTGACTAGCCACTGAAGATTATACAACTTTATGTTTTCATTTCCTTAGACTTGCAGATTATCCTTAATGATGAGTGCCAGAAATCCTACAAGCTGTATAAATAACTTCCTTCCCGACTGTCCACAACTAATTGAGAACGACAGTCTTAAATCTTAGTGATTATAACGCGAATTGATAGTGTTCACTCATCACTTCTAGTAAGGCAACATTAATTGTTCACTTCCTAATATCTAATCAGTGTGTATCCTCTAATCCCATGAGAGGTCGGTCGTAATCTGAGTAGCTCAGTGACGTGGTTTGAGATTTCTAAGGCGATTCCAGCTCTCTATAATTTATAGATATGCTGTATTCATGAATGTCAGCATGGATTAAACCTAGATTGGGAGCTTCCTGTTGACTGTAAGTAACAAAGTAACACTAAGTCGTTAATATGCAGAGTACAAATTTTAAAATTTTACTAATAATTCTTGTTAACAAGGTTTGGTGGTCTGCCAAAGACTAACAATGTTTTGAATTCAAAAAAAAGCGTTTGAAGGCACTAACTGCATTGGTTTTCTCAGTAGTTACATCAGTTATATAGCAATGAAGGATTCTGCAACTTGAATAAGAATGAAGTGACGTCATCTGACAGTCGGCAAGCTTTGTCTTTTAAAGGGGAATAAGTCTATTTGCTGGTAATGCAGATCGAAGCATTTAGTTTGATGGGAGATGTAATTATAATGTTAGCACAATACGATTTATACAACACACTAGCTATCTAACATCTTGTTACATCATTATATGCACATCAAGTAGTGATATTCCAACGGAACCACATAAAATGATGTATAAGGTTATGAGCATCCAGACCGTATTTATTACAAATATCCTGGAAGAAAATGAGCACCAAGTCGGACTGAGTACTGTACGAATGTATCTTATTATAATCAAGATATATTATAAACAAGATATTTTTGAACTTTTTACTATGTACGCTACCGATTATTCGGAAGAATGTACAGATATGTGCTGAAGAAGCTGTGGGATATAGAACGAAACGTTCAGTAACATCCTACTTTGATTTTCTAAACAAGCTGGGTATATATTGAAATTTATTCTTATAAAGTAGTGCATATTTAGAAGATATATAAGTAGACACACTTATTTTAGCTCAGATGTCGAGAATTCGTTCGATGATGGTGATCGATTAATTCAAATGGTCACACTCATGGACCTGTCATATTTTCTGAGGACCAAGTGAGCTTTTGCAGCGTTACTCACACAAACTGAGTTGGAGCGCTGTAAGTGATAGCTCATTATTTTAATAGAAAATCAATCAAATTTCAGTTGTTGTCAATATATGTGACTTAAATCCTGACGGCTGGCATATTAAAAAGACAATAATGGATATCTGCCACCTTATCAGGCTTCAAAATAAATCTATCATCAACGAAAAAATACTTTGAACTCAGTGCACAAGTAATTAGGTTCGCTGCTGATTAGAAGCTGAAGGACAGAAGCCTAGCTTTCAGTATTTTACTGCAAGTGTTTATCCTATTTGACTTCAACACTCGGTGCTATTGTCACCAGAACCATATAGTTTAAAGCACCATGTACTGTTGGAAACATAATAACTCCCCAAAAGCGATCACATACTTGTGCAACTGTTAGCTGATTCTCTCATTCAACCACAAAACCGTAAGTTATTGAATTAAACTTCAAAAAAATATTTGTTTACTATAAACATGACTGTTTAAAGTGCTACGAAAGTGGTACGTTATTTCATTTGTAAACGACTAATCCTTATTTTAGTTACTTGATAGTGAAACAACAGATGAGTTGCTGTCAGGCTCAAAAAATACATAAACCACCAAAAATGAGAACCTTTTACTGCATACTAATTAAAAGTGTATTAATCATTTTCTGTAGAATTTACGAGAGCATTCTTCTAACTTAGGGAACTGCCACTTACAGGAAATTTATATTTATTTATTTTAGTGTGAAATATATTTTGAGTAGACTTTTGGTACGCTGTAATTATTGAACTTCAAATTGTGAGAAATGTGCTTCACCATGACATTTGTACTTCCGGTTGATAAATTATTGTATGAAATGCACAATTTAATAATGTTTTTCAATGTAGTAGTGGTATTTGAGATACTTGACACTCATAGGTAGGGTTTGAATTAATTTCGCTGACTCCTTAATTCGTATTCAGATTACTGTGCTACTGGTCGGTGTGTATCTTTAGAGTGTTCTTCGTGTTTCGAGTCATGTAATCTACAGTTGGCATGTTAAAGTGTCTCAAAAAAGGAATTGAAAACTTCGTAAAACACTTCGTTAGTTTAGTCACGGAAAATTGGATCAGGTTAGAATGTCTAAAACCCCACAAAGGTTTGTTGAAAGGATTTTACTGAATACTTACCACCCAGTTAAAAGGTTGCTTAGTGAGAAGCATAATATGTGTGAATTTACTGATATTTACGTAGTCCACTTGTACAAATAATTTGTCAACTGTTTTGTCTCTCAGTTTGCATGGAAACTGATACTGATATTGTTTCGATTATGGTCATTTCAAAGCACAAAAACTGGATTTGCTATGTGTTGAACGCGATACACACTTTTTAGAATTTTGTAAGAAAACTTTTCGTTGTGATACATGTCTCAGTCCCTTTTTAGGTTAACGGTTTGCGGTCACATGTAGGAAAACCACACATCACAGATGGCTAATAGTATGTGAATAACCGCACAATTAGTTCCGTTATCTCAGTAAAAACTGTTAGTCAGCTCGACGATCAGTTGAAGAGATAAATCTTGCAGCACATTCATTGTGCCTAGGAGTGGGTAACAATATTTATATTGTTTGAAAAGTTGTATCTCCTCGTCAGCTCTTTATTGTGAGAAGTTTACTAGCTGTTTCTTGTGTGTATACATTATCGACTAACGTTTTCAGTATTTAAACAAATGTCACTTTTTCTACGAGCGTAATTTCAATGTCTTGTGCATTTCACCTTTCAGAGAAACATGTTGTGCCTAAAAGCACGTTGTTACCTATTTACTAATTGGATTGTATAAAACTATTACTTAGTCCTTATTTGGGACATTATCAGTCTTTAAGCTGCTGATACATCAATATATAGAAAAAGATCCCCAAAGAAACATTTTAACCGTAAAAAGGACAAATAACTGGGTTCATTTTAAACGTATGTGACTGTTATTATGCACTTAAGCATATGAGATTGGAGAATAGTATTAATAAAACTTACAAGGTTGGATGAAAAACAGTGTGCTTACTATGCGCGAAGAATTCATTGATATAATCTAGACTTTTTGAAAAATGTTCTTCAAGTTTTCCTAAATATCATATATGTGTGTTAACCATGTAGCCTGCTTTCAAGCTATCTGAAACTTCAGTTTGATGAAAAGGATGATTTTCAACTACATATGCAATAGACCATTTATTATTATTATTATTAGTCCCCTGGGTTCCTAGTGGAACATAGGGCTTCAGTAGCACGTCTCCAGTGACCTCTGTTCTCTGAGATCTTTTGAACCTTGTTCCACGACAGCCCACAAGCTCTCATTTCCTCCTCGCACGACCTCCTCCATGTCACCTTCGGAAGTCCAACTCGAGGGCCTGACGCGTGATGTCCTCAGTCGGCCTTCTCAGTGTATGCCCAATCCATCTCCACTTCCTTCCAGTGTATATTTGTTGGGTAATAGCTTCTTGTTTCGTTGGTTCGTTCCCAGAGCTTATTCTTGCTTATTCTTTCTGGCCATCTGAGCTTCATTAACGAGCCAGTGTAAGCAGTTGTTGATGAATGTCTGTAGTTTATTGGAAATGCCTTTCGTGACGCGCCAAGTCTCTGAACCATACAGAAGCACTGACTTGACTGGGTTGGTGTTGAAAATCCGGATCTTGTTCCACATGCTGAGTGGAGTGCAGATCTCTACACTGGTTTCAGGCTAATGAACGCTTGTCTTGCTTTTCCGATTCTGACTTTAACATCATCGTCTGTGTCGCCTGTAGTTGAAACAGTGCTTCCTAGATAGGTGAACGAGACTACTTCCTTTAAGTTTCTCCCGTTGACGGTGATTGGAGTTTGTTGTTGTTGGTGGTGTGTTATCTTCATCACCTCCGTCTTCTCTATATTCACCTGAAGTCTCGTCTTCGCTACCTCTTCTATCAACTTGTTAGTTTTTGCCTGCAGATCTTCAAGTTTATGTGACATTAGGCACAAGTCATCGTTGGCGAAATCCAACTCTTCTAGGTTCTTTTCCACAGTCCAGTGTATCCCCCTCTTCTCGCTGCCTACTGTTTGCTGCATGATCCAGTCCACCACAATAAGGAATATCATGGGTGACAGTAGGCAACCTTGTTTCACTCCTGTCTTCACTTCAGTGGCATCACTGAGCTTCCCATTGTGTTGTGAATTACTTGGCATGTGGCATCTTCATATAGTTGTTGAATGAGGCGGATAAAGGTTTGCGGTATTCCGTAGTATTGAAGCAGTTTCCAAATTACCTCTCGGTCGACGCTGTCAAAGGCCTTCTCAAAGTCGATGAAGTTGAGGTAGAGAGCTGATTGCCATTCTATGCTCTGTTCTATGATGATGAATAGAGTGGCATTGCAATTTGGTCTGCACATGATTTGTACTTCCTGAAGCCTGCCTGTTCCGGTCGCAGTTTTGAATCCAGTGCATCTTTACGCCTCTCCAGGATGATGCGGCTTAATATTTTACTTGGGGTGGACAGGAGAATGATTCCACGCCAGTTCTTGCAAGCACTGAGGTCTCCCTTCTTCGGCAGTTTGACAAGGTAACCCTTCTTCCAATCAATAGGCAGATACCTTCCCTTCCTTCCTTGCAAACCTTCTGCAATAGTGGTGTGAGCATGTCTGCTGTTGTCTCTGCGTCTGCTCTCAGTGCTTTTGAGGGGATCCCATCTTGTCCTGCTGCTTTCCCGTCTTTCAGTAGCTTTATGGAGTTCAGGACTTCCATTTTCGTTGGAAGATTTACGTTCACTTGTAGTTCAGCGGCTGCAGGTGGTACTTCTGGACGAAGTGCAGGTGGTGGTCGACTCAAGAGTTTCTTGAAGTGGTCAGCTCATCATTTCCTTTGTCCCTTTCCTTTCGTAATTAAATTTCCTTCACCATCATTCATTGGTTTCATCTGTGTTGGTCTCTTCCCTGATAGCAACCTGGTTATTTGATACAATGTCGTCAGGTCTCTCTTACCTGCAGCCTGTTCTGCTTCACTTGCCAGTGTTTCGTAGAAGTGTCTTTTGTCTTTGCGTGCACTCTTCTTTACTTCTTTGTCCAGTGCTTTATACCACTGTATTCATTTCCTCTTCACGTTGTGCATTCTTCCACTGGTTTATCTTCTGCTTCACCATCCTCCTCTCCTCAATCAGCTTCCAGGTATCCATCGAGATCCATTCCTTGTCTTCTTTCTTCTTCCTTCCTAATACGGTTGTGCAGGTTTCTTCCCACATCGCTTTCAAAGACTTCCAGTGTTCTTCCACACAGGTTTCTTCAGGGATGTTGCTCAACATCTCCGATTGTGTTGTCTTGGTGGCTGGCTGACTTGAAGATTTCCTCTGTAGTTACATCCTTCAGTTTCCCAATGTTGTGCTTGAACTGTGGTCTATCACCAAACACCTTGAAGGCTGTTAACTTGGTTTGGAAGGTTGCTTGCACTAAACAGTAGGTGGTCTCAACCTACATCTCCTCCTCTTCTGGACCTTGTGTCAAGTTGGCTGGCTGCGTCTCCACTTTCTTGAGATTGAGATAAAGTCGATCTGATATTTAGTGTAGTGTGTCCAACTCGTGTCTGGTGAAATCAAATCCATGTCGCTAGCTTTGTGGATATCCTTGTGCTTGAACACACTACCTCACTCCAATCACCAAATCGTTGAATGCACAGAATTCTGCAAACAATTCTCCATTCTCGTTCATCACCTCACCGAGTGCTTCTCGACCCAATGTTAGTTCTCTTCCTGTGTTGTCCCCCCCCCTCCCAGTTTGGCTGGCAATTATGTCACCCTACCCTTTAGAATTTTGACATGGCCAACTGCGGTGAGGTCTTGTCCAGTGTTGATTGTAGTTGTCTGTAGAACTCCCCCTTTTCTCTTGCTCTGCATTATTTGTAGGTGTATGGCGTAGCATTGAATGATTGTGACCTCCCTTCCTTTTGAGTTGAACCTTGCTGTGATGATCCTGCAGAAGGAGATTGGTTCCCACTGGATGAGAGAGAGCCTTCGATGCTGTTGTGGACATCATGATAGCCACTCGAGAATTCAGTGTGCTCGTGTTTGTCGTCTGGGTGACAATACCGGAGTAGATTATTGATTCTCCAGTTGACAGTTTGGAGACTCCCCCTTCATTCCATCTGCTTTCGCAAATCCCAAGCACCTCGATGTAATACCTTCTCATCTCCTTTGCAGTCTGGGCTGCCTTGCTGGGTTCAAACATGGTGCGGACATTCAATGTCCCCACGTTTACTTTCGCTTTCATCGAGAGACGACACATCGGCCAATTGGCTTCCCGAAGGCTTTCACCAACTGGCGTCATTTCGCCTTTCCGATTCCAGCGGGGTATAAGTTTGTTTTCATTTTTTATATTTTGTTTGTGCTTTGAAGTTTGTTTAGCAGTTAGATTTATTTTAGGGGGTAGGGTTGCTAGCCCTATGCCCAACCTTCCCTCTTAACCCGAGCTTAGGACCGGCTAGTAGCTAGTGAACTAGTTAACCAGGCGAAGTTAATAGACTATTTACGTCAGCCTATTTATTTCTCCTTCATAAAGAGATGTGTATTTTCTAACGCTAAACAATATAAAGTCACAAAGTTTAGGCAGCTACTTTAGCGTTCCCCTGAAATGTGTAACATATTTTTGAGTTCTAAGCTATTCGCCATACAACATAGTGGGTAACATACTTAAAACTATCACATACACTTTAAATGACACCTCTTTTGATGAAGTTTCTAAAACTCAATTTCTCGCAGTGATTAACCTTACACTTATTTACACCATAAACTGTAGATCTATGTGATGTAGCCTCTGATTCTTTTTATGTTAATTTTGTAGTGAAGAGATAATATGTATTTTACTCAGAACATTGGAGACCAATTTTATTAATGTTTGCTCCCACTAAGTACATCGTGATTGATTGTAAGTGGTCTTAGCGTGTTTTGTTTATGAACACAGTTCACAAATTTCACTTGTTAAATAAAGCTTACCAGTGACCTGCTAAGATTTTAGTCCAGCACAGTTTTCCACAAAAAATATTAAATCAAATTGTAACTTTTGAATCTGTTCAATCATTAAATTGTCAACAATTTGAAGTATGTAGTCTCATGCACCTAAACTATTTCTTCAACCAATCTTTTCTCAGGTAAAAAGTAAGATTACGTGGAAACACTACGATAGATGGTGAGTACCTAAGAGCACAACAGTACTTCACGCAACCGCTGTTTAAATAACTAATTAAAACTGCAGGTGTATATACTGGCTGTTAAAACTTTCAACAACCAACTTACTGGCATTCTTTCGTCCGTCTTCTAGTACATCAACGACTCTACTAACAAGATAACAACTCAGCAGTAGTTGATCACTGCACAGTATTTCTTATCATACAGCTATAATTTAAATTATTTATATGCCATACTTACTTCGCCTGAAAATATTGTACAAAGAATAAATATTTTGAAATATTACACTAGAAAATTATTTATTGTGTCAAAAACGTTGTCTGGAATAATGTTTATTACTACTATTTTACTCATATAGTTTAAAAACTGCCAACTACAGATAATCTGAAGCAAATATCGGGATTCATTTCATGAATGACTACTTACTTGAGTTCATATTATGACGTTGGTTGTCCTTCTTTAAGAGGAACTTATACATCTAAGATAACCTTACTAAAGAATATGGAAAGAAACAGGTTTACAGATTAACTCCGTTATTAGTTTCTAACACATCACTAACATATATTCACACACTTCCTTCACATTTTAGAGATAGATCTTAGAAAACTTGCATTTTCTTTGTAACGTTAACGAAAGAGTTGGCAAAAGTTAATTCAGTTCACCCTTCGTGATACATATTTTCGTTTCGATCCTTCTGCATACCAAAAACCTTAAATCCTTCATCAATTTCTCCAGTATTCAGCAACAATTTACGAGTATTATTATTAAATATTTTCGAAGTAAATGTCAAATTTTTCATGTTAAAATTAAGAAACTTCCAATTATTCCTACATAGGTTGCCAAACAAACTAGTTTCCAGAAAATCTAATAAGGTAAAAGGTCTTTTCGTAATAAGAATTTGGCGTATTAGTACCAAAATAAACAATCTTGTCCATACAGTTGGTAGATTAAAACCTCAGAAAGGGATGCAGTCGCTGTTTTTGTTATCAATTTGTTCGACATTATAAGTAGTAAATAAAGTGTTTTCGTCTGCCCGAAGAAATGTTTTTCTAACAATATTAGTAATATTAGATAAAGAATAGTGTTTAGGTCTATTGAATTGAAGGCTTGCATTGCAGGCTAAGAATTGATAGACTATAAGAGAATATGAACTATTTTTAAAACTATCGCAGCATGGATTTGTAAATTTTTGTAAACAACTTTGGCGCACAACTTCTTTTCATGTTGTCTTGAACCAGTTATCCAAAGTTTCTGATTGGTGAAGAAACCATTTACCAGCTGAACTTTTCTCTTTTTTCTATCTGGTACACACTGTGCCACTTTACTAGCATTCTTTGAGCAAACAACAGCTTATTTCATTAAAAGTCGGAAAAGTACTGAATTGAATATTATTTATGACATAAGAAGTTGAAAGAAAGGCTGTTGAGACTCAGAAATCCCATTGACCGTGGTTATATAACAATTTTTAAAAGTTGTGAACTTATAATTAGTTATATTGTCATACTTTACAAAGATTCGAGCCTTAAAATTTGAGATTTGACCGAATAACGATGAGGAAAATACATGTCGCTGTCTTAGTTCTTCACAATTTTTGACATTTGGTTATGATTATTTGATCTCGAGTTTGGTAACTATATTTTCTTGAAGCTTAGTGATGAAACATCCTTGATCATATTTTTTAAGCTCGTTTGGTCTAAACCGAGTTTCCGTTTATTCTGAGCTAAAAATTGTTTCCATTACCGATAAAAAACTGTAACCATCACCAGTCAAGTGTAAATTGCTTGAAAACTACAAGCAGAAGATCAAAAATCCTGACGTCATTTTCTGTTATTGAGTTTATTTTGAATAAAAGTCTAAGATCCACTTGTATGGCTTATCAGCAGAAAGCAATAACACCCTCGAGGAACCTAAAGCTCTCATGAATTAACAAATCTACGTCATTTAGCAAGTTATGCTAACTGGGAAATAATTTGAGGTATGAGAGGAGTTATTTACTAATAGTCCAATATAAGCCAATAAGTAAATGAATATATTTTCAGCACCTCAGTGCCATGGTTAAGTTGCCCGCATGAGGGTTCAATTTTCCTCCAAGTGAAAAATTACAAGTGCTTTGGTCTAGAATGATCTACGATTTGGGTAACAATGGGACTTTAAAATAATCTGAATGGCTAGAATGATTAGCCAATGAGGAAACAGCAATGAAGCTATTCGTTTGAAATATCGATGTAAAGCGTTATTTATTTTTCATCCGATAACCTTTCGCTAGGTGATAGATAGGATTTATTTCATGTTAGAATCATTCACATATTTAATGTTGTTCCTGTCAAGCATTATTCCTGCGACCAAACTCTCTATTCGGTTAAATTGAAATGGTCCTCAAAAATGTTACATGTCAGAAGCAAGTCACTTGAAACTGATGGACAGAAAGTCCATGAATCATGTCCATTTTCATTTTATCTCTCACTACCCAACATAAACGAAATGCACATTTCGAGCAAATCTAAATATTCTAACCAAATTAATGTATTACGACAGATCAGTCCTAATGATAGTTGCAAGGCGTTCTTCGAAGAGATAACTAACAGTAATGAACTCTGCAAAGTTAGAACAAAGCCATGTAATGAAACTACTGCTAGAAAAGTGAGGTGGTTATTCAAAAGAATCAACGCAAAATTTTCTTCATCACCCTCATTTTCACTATATCCCGGTTGTAATAGCGATAATGGTAACAGTAATAGTACAAGAAGTAGTTTATTGTCATTTCGGCATCAAAAACTTGGTCTTAGTGGATATTTAACTTCAATATCATCATTTAAGTTTAAATCTGATTGTACAGATGCAAGTTTGACCGTCAAAGACGAAGGTTTAAATATGCAAACACGTTCCAAAAAGATAAGCGTGCCACCACCTCTGGTAAGAAAATTATTTATTGTTGTTAGTTTTATTTCTTAACATGTATATCACTTAGTGTAATATTTATACGTTTTTCTTTGACGATTATCAAAAAGGAGTTTGGCATAAGCGAAAATGTGAAAGACCTCTGAAAAAATTATTCGACGGTTTTCATTATGCTTTTGAAGGACAATAAAGTTCTATGTTGCATATTACACTTCTCGCAGAACCTAAAGCAGTAAATTTACTAAGCGTAAAGGCAACATATGAACACAGAAACATCCTAAATTTTATGTCCCAAAAGTGTTTCTATGCTTACTTGAATAACTGTTTGCTGATAAAGGCAACTGGATGCAGCCTGATGACTAAAGGCACACCAGTAATATGTTCCATTTGTTTACTGTAGATATACTTATTTGAGAATATCAGTATGAACATCGAATACAGTAACTAGGCAGGATCAGAATATTGAAATCTGTGCAAAATATATTGGCGATGGCACCACAGAACTCGGATGGTAATTCATGTAAGATTTCTGAATGGCTGGTTTCAGGTTGGTGTTACACTTCATCCTTTTATCTTTCTATGTAGTTTTTATAACTAACTAAGAATTAAAAAGCGAATAGCTCATATTTTTCATGAGGCGAATAGCAACAAATCTGAAGTAAAAGTAGATTTAGACGATTGGAATTCCTGCAAATCTTTTTTTTCAGCTTAAATACAAATGGACGTTAAAGTACCACTGTCTTTTTAAATTAGTTTTGAATTCGTATATATCGTTGCCATAGAATTCTCCACTTTGAAATACGTAGTGTTTCAATAAACTAGTTCATTGTATTTTGCCTATGGTGTTATATGTAGGTTACTTTTAATTAACTGACTGTCACATAGCAGTCAGCTTTATTCTGTCTGTTTCTGAAAGCTGTTGGAGTTTACGTTGTTGCCGTAAAGTAAAACTAATTAACTTCTTGGTACGATATCCTCTTCACTGACCAATGCTTACTACGAAGTGGCTAGTAGCATTACTGGATGCTTTTGCAAATCTCTATGGATGGACTGAAAATCATGCCTTTGAACTTCTAGGTTAATGCTAAGTCCAAGGTAATATGTTAAACATCCGCAAAATAAAGTGCTGTGACAGAATTTACTGGAGATGAAGCCTGTTACTGATGTGTAGGTGATGCATATGTAGACGAGTTCAATTGCGGATTAGTATTTTACTAATGTATGTTGAAACCATGAATGAGACAGCCTTTAAATGCACAGTGTAAATTACTTCCTATGATTTAGTTCTAAACCGAAAACTGACTAAAATAAAGCGCATCTCCACAGATAATGTTTTCTTATCTCGACGAAAACGTGTACCCAATAAATTTCATTTTAACATTTAAGCTCCTGGAACTTTATAAATTCTGAGTACGATCTGATATAATAGATTAGTCTTTGTGTCAGGGCAGCTAACATTTGTCTGGGAATATTTTCCTACTGTTTCAAATACTGAGTACGTAATGAAGGAGATAAAACAACAGAAAAATCGATCTTTGATGTATGCACCTGTTTCGTATTATGCTACGATACTGAGTCAGTCATATTTTCTCAGCTTTCCTACCATCGACTCATAAATAGAGTACTTTTTTGTAGGTTGGTCATTGGAGAGCAGTGTATTTCATGTTTTCTGGTCGTTAATGCCGACCGAATTTCACTAGCCATTTCGCGATTGAGCCACTAAACTAGGAGGCTCACTACTGCGAGGCACTTCGGCAAGTGTTAGTTGACTGGAGGAAGTCGGAAGACACTAAGCCAATGTATTTACTAAATGATTTTCATTGTGGTTTTATAATCCAGTTAAACTGTATTCCCTAATTGGGGCACTATGTATATATTAACCAGAAATGAAAATAAAGTTGATTTTGACAACTGGTACTAACAAAAAATCTCATGAAACTGTCATGATTAAGTATGAACAACTACTTGTTTCATATTATACCACAAACTATCGCCTTCTACTGGCTTATGAAGTGTATAAAAGCTATTCAGTAATCAGAATTGACTAAATTCTATTTCATGACAGTTTTGCATACGAAATAATAAAATGTAATTTATATTTTCTTTTTCACCATCTACCACATTTATGATTTACCCAGTGAAAATAGTCAGTCACTGTTTTCTATTTTGACTTCAAATATTTATTACTTTCATTCATTCATATAAAACTTTGAGTAGAATCAAATTTTATTGAATTTTTGAAAATTTACTTACAACTGATTTTCATTTGTTCTTTAAATCTGTTCAACATAATAGTTTGAGTTGAAAACACTTTTAGTTCTGAAAGATTACTTGTAAATCTATTCATATTGCTGTTAAGAAGCTTTTTTTCATTAATATCAGTAGGAATATGATTTTCTGGTTTCTTCAATCCCCATAATAACTCAAATCAGGCATGTAGTTGCTCATTTAACTACTGCTATTTTTGTGAAGTAGTAAACTATGTAACATCTCCGCTTTTCTGGCCCAGTTTCTGAGATCATTGGGAATTTTATGAAGGGGGATTCAGTATTATTGCTTTAGTAAACAATAAACTTTTAAAACCTTTTTGATCAAATCTATAATTATTCCTGCTCATGCCTAATTGTGTGCACTTATTTCCAGAATAAACCTTTCAAACAAAAATCTTTCTTTACCATTACTTTATCTGGTCGTACCATGTTTTTAAACATTTTGTAATTAACAATTCGTGAAACTGCTTCACAGTCTTTTTTGCTTTAACAACAATAATTATCGATTTATTTCAAACAATATGTATGGTAGTGTGGAATATTTAGCATGAAATATTTCAACAAATTTGCTTCCCGTACAATATTTTTAATGGAAATAATTATTGTCTGCGTAGTTTTCAATCAAAACTTTGATGCACTTCCACTGTTCTACCGAAAGACATGGTAAATAAGTAGATAGGCACATAACCACCCAGTTTGCGCAAGGAATGACAGACAAGTGAACTTTAGCTTAAATGCTATCACGTAAATTGAATGTACGAGATCTGTCTAGTTTAGTCCCATGCAATTAGGCTGAAAAGATTTGTACCATGAATTTGATAACCTAGTATACTTTAAGTGGGTTGCTACCATTGTAATTCTCTTTGATTATTAGGTAAATAAACCTCAGTTTTTGAATGAACAACATCTTTTGACGCACACATTTTGCTCCAAAATGAGACCCATTTTGTTCCAGTAAATTTGTTTGTATTAGGGCTGTTTATAAGTTCTCCCAAAGGCATTTATAATCTTTAACATAGCTAATGTATATTCAATACTACCTTTCTTATCAGTTTTATAAATGACGATTGTACCTTTTAGGTTAGTTGACGCCATGGTCCGTATTTACTAAATAATTTTTATTACTCCTGTAGCATTTTACCATAGCATGAGTAGACAATGTATAAATAACTGTGAACTCGTGTCCCTTTTATACCGTGACGTTAACATCATACCCTTGAAGTACTTGGTTTCATTTAACCATAACTTTTGTTAATATTTGTTTATTGACATGCACCATAAAAACTTTTATGGCACTGTTAATTCATCTTTTGATTGTCTTGAAATCATCTTAGTAAATGAATATAAAATGAACCTGAACTAACTGGATCATTTTCTTGTCAATACCTCCTCACTGATACTTTTTAAACTATCTTTATTTTCATTATTGTGTTAATTTTTCTCGATTCATTACAGTATTAAGGACAATCTTTTATTTTTCCACCAGTAAAGGACTAAGAAAATTTTCTTTTTCGACGATATCATTTTCTAAAGCTGTACAATCGTACTTATATATATATATATCATAAACACATAACAGTCTATTATAAAACAATAGGGCATAATTACATCATTAACCTGGTTCTAAAAAAACCGGAATCAAGAATACTAAGTATTTGCGTAATAAACTAACACAGTAGAAATATCGAGGGAGGTAAGGAGTTTGACAAGGTGATAATTGTTGGTAGATCAGAAACACAAATATTGAGTATCAAAATGTCAAAATGTCTAACAAAAGACGCTAAACTGAAGTTGATGAGATGTCTTAAAGAGTCAGAAATACATTCTCATTTACCAGTAGCACCAGAAAAATATGTATTCAGTTACTCCAAGGTAGATTTGACTCTTATTCAAATGCAGGTATTATCTCTCGGTCCAAAAGTTTGAGATACCTCAGTAGCTGCCAAAGATTTGGACATAAAAGTTCAGCTTTAAAATTTGATCAACCGAACAAATGATCTCCAAGTTTCAAACAAGGGACTTGAAAAGTTAAAATCTGCTGCCTTTAATTGCTGTCATCAATACCTTAATACGAAGTCACAATGCAAACGATTGTTGACAAATGAGCATAGAAAGCAACTGCTTGAAATATTGAAAAATAAAGATTTACTACTAGTTCGTCCCGATAAAGGCGCTGGTGTTATCCTCATGGATCGTTTGGAATAACGCAAAAATGGTCTCTATATTATCAGATATGAGTAAATTTCCAAAGCGTCTGCTCAAGATGATGCCATTGAACAAACTGGATGAAAGCTTACTCAAATTTAAAAAAAATGAAGAATTAGTCTATCATCAGCCCCGAACTATTCGAGTAGTTGCGACCCTCTGGTTTTGTTACTTCTCGCTTATATGGTCTCCAAAATGTCCACAGAGAAAAAACTTTCCTCTTCGTTTAATTTTAGACATGAACAATTCACCATATCAATCTATCGCCAAGTTGCTGTCTGATTTCCTCCAACCAGTCAGAAAACAGCTAAGCTAGAGAATGGTGTGCTGAATTCATCAATTGATAGTTTCTACCTATAAAAAGATATATGGATGACACTTTCATCATAATCGATCAAAATACAAATATTGAGGCTGTAGTTAAAAAGTTCAGTGATTGTCACTCATCGATCAACTTCATATCAGAATTTGAAGAGAACTCAGAATTCCATTTTCTCGATGTTGTATTGAAACGGAGACTAGATAGTTCTCTTCAGCGAT